GATCGTGCGCAGCTGCTTTTGCGTGTCGTGGAAAAAAGTGCAACAAGAAATCGTAATAAGCTTTAAAAAGCAGCACTTTGAGAGACAATATATATGTAAGCAATGCAGAGAATTCAATCAGAAAGACGTTAGAGAAATTTAAATAAAATAATTTTGTGAGTAAAATATGAAAATTATAATTGTACACGCATACATTTCCGTTTATCATCTTTCACAGCGCGTTTTCGCAGATAGTCTCTCACCAGAATCAGAATTCTGGCACACATCCCTGCTGTCATTATCGAGGGCATCTCAATTCTGCCGGTCGAGAGTCGGTCAATAGTAGTAATAGTTGATCTCAATACTAACAAAATAACAGCAAATGCACGCGCTCTGTACGTGCTTTCCCTATCGATCGACAAATGATAGTATATTGTAATTGAACTCGTATTTCGCAAGCGACGGAATCAAGTCACGAGAGCGTTTTGAATTACAGCAGAAAAAACAATTGTATAATATGATTGTTTATCTTAAACTACTATCCGTTCTTCTCACACAGGTCCGAATTAATTGATGTGTATATTGCGAATATATATATAATTAGGTATATATAATTTATACATACCTATAATGTAACGTAATATATTCAACGTCATCAATTCAGAAATACCTTTGTGTTTTATTTATCCATTTAAATCATCTACGATGATAAATCAACATTAATGGTTTTTGATTCATAAATTGTATCGATAATTAAATGAAAATATCGGCATTGTGTTGCAAATAAAATATTATACGATATTCGTGCAAATAATCGAAAAGCAATAAAACGCATCGCTAAATAGTTTTCACAGTAGTGAGAATTAATTTTTGAGCGCGAATTAAAATAAACTAATTCCGCATTAACAAACGCGCGACAGTTTCTTGCTGCGCCCATCGTTAGAATTATGTACTTTCATTGTCGATAATTAGAATCGTCGATGATCGTCAGAAAGTACAGTGGTTGTCAGATGAGAGCGAAACTTCCTTAATTCCGACCACGTCGACATTGAGATAATTGCGTGACGTGATTTACATGAAGTACCTAATACGTTATAATCAGTTCTCCGAGCGCAATCACACAGCGTTATATGATGACAAACGAGTCCCCTTGACAAAGCCAATTACAGTTTCTGCCTTGTTAGAGCAAAATAACGAAATGCCAACTTTGCAGAAATATTTCATATCGTTGAAGTTTGGAACGTTCGTCGAACGAAAGAACATATTTTTGCTTTTAACCATCAGTAATGTAAAAACACATATTTCATAAAACTTTACATCTTAAAATCGATATTATACATATCTTCTATAAAAAAAATTTTTTATATATCAATAACAAAGTATATAGGTACAACAGGTTCCTCGTTCCGAAGTACCAATCGTATATATTGCATGTCACTAAATATTATACGATGAAATATCACTTTGCCACACAACAAAAGAAGGCTCGAAACATTTTTGTTGATTAAAAAACATCATCATCGCGACAACGTTCGATACAGATAGTTTTTCGCTTGACAAACGTTTCAAACTTTAACGACATAATATTTCAACGCAATTGTGTTGTGTATGTAGACACACATAGAAAATATATTATGTACTAAATATATATGTTATCGCATACAACATATGTTGTAAATTTTATATTGTATTATATTTTGTAAGAATATATCTTTGGAGTTTAATGCATATATATATATATATATATATATATCGTTTTAGTGTTTTTTTCCTTTTTTCTTATCGTTCGAAATTCCCTCAATTTTACAACTTTGCATTTGCCGAAGTTTTACCGTGCGCGTGTTTATGCTACTGCTTCGTCTCGTCTGCGAGATTTGGTCGAGGACCACCGTAATCACCGTAGTCGCTATTTTCGTATACACGAGAAGAAGACTCTGTAAGCCACGAGCGCGAGTCTCGCCGACCCTGACTCAAATTCAAACAAGAGCCAGCTGCCGCTCGGCATTGCCCAATCCGGCGCATCTCAAGATCTCGAATTTAGAAAAGAGATCGACGAGAGAATCTCTTCTAAAAGATTGATCGTTACATCGAATTTTCAAAATCAATGCAACCTTAATTTATTTCTACATGACTTTGTAAAATCTGTGCGTCAAAGATGATATAAATCTATTTTTTTTTTCGCACTCAGATCTTTTATGAAGTCACGCGTGACGACGCAAACTCCACAATATATATTTTTTTAACATAATGTAATATTTTAACGGTCAATAATATAATTTGCAATTAAACTTCTCTAATAGCGTATGATAATTGATAAAATGTACTTTGTTATTTTTCTGAGAATACAGATGGATCAAATATACTTGACAATTTCGAAAAAATGGCTTCTGAAACCTTTGAATCATGCACGCACGAATAGTTCGAGACGAAGAGACATTTTTCGTCGAAAACGGCTGCGAGCAGCTTCTCCAGTCGCTCGTAGATACATCGATTCGTTATCGAGATATTGCTTTCGTGCAGCCACGGACAAGGAGCGGTTGAATTCGCGAAGATTTATGATTTCACCGTATACGCGTTCGCCAATTTTTTCCCTTTCTTTCTATTTCTATGATCGTCTCGCGTCGCCACGTTCAAGTGCATGAGCATAAAATGAGAAATCGTTTCTCGTTGCCATTATTTGCTACGACACAAAGTTAACGACGGAAGAATAGAAAAACATGTGAGAAGCGAGTGCACTTTGAGTTTATGATGCACGAAGTTGCGCGTTAGAGAAAACCTGCTTGATTATCTTATCAACTGCGAATAGATCGGCGAAATCACAAAAATGCAAGCTATATCATTAGACTCGGATCTCGGAAATTGAGAAAAATGTGAACAATATTCTCAAAGTGCAACGTAGGTAGCTCATTAATTAAATTTCGCCAAGCTACATCTCCATCAAAGAAAAAGAAAAACTTCTCCGCGCAAAGTGAAAACCGTGATCGTTGCAATAAAGGTCTTTCTGCGTTTCTTCCGCTCTTTGCGGCCTTCGATTCCTTTTACGGGCCGGTCTGGAAACATTTACTATCCTCTCACGGTATTCTTAGTTAACGAACCAAACCGGCGGAGTGTATCAATCACCCAATGCTCTTTCTATTGCCTCCTGAAAGTTCGGTTCATGGTTCGAATTGGTACCAAAGTTGTATCGAACTTATACATATGAAATGCGGTAGAACACTGCAGTTCTAACCAAGTTTCACGGTATGCGAATTGAAGATGATTTCGAGCGGAGAGAAGCGCGCGTTCGCCATTATTCGATGACAAGTGACAGTTTCCCAAGATTATTCATGCAACTAAGTAAACAGAGTTCATTACGGACTATTTAACATATTATTTACTTGTACAACAGATATATGTGCGTTCACGGTGTTACGTCAAAGAGATATAATCGATGTAGCAAAATAAAATGTAGCGAAATAAAAATTCAAAGAAATAAATTAATTATGTAAATTTATTTTATAAATACCACAACAATTGCACACACTCTTTCGCTCCTTCCTCTCGCACGTTGATGACATATTAAATGAAAATTCTACAAAATAACACATGCTGGTCAAGAAATTTTTGAGAGAAATACAAACTGTGACATTGCGTTCGTATACTGAAAAAAAAAAAAACTATTTACTCAACTAAATGCGTTTAGCTGAGTTTCAATTTGTTATCTGAAATACTTGGTTGTTTAATTCAAGCATATGGTAATAAAGATAACAAATTTGTATAAATTGAATTAACAATAGTGGTAATGAACATATTTAATTCACTAAACCATGAATTGTTTTGTCAAACATAAGTTGTGATAATTTCAAATAAAAGATACTGTTAAAAAAGATGAAATAGGCAATTCTCATTTACTTTAATTGAACATAATCTGAATTTCTTTGTACTAAGTATTTCATCTAATCAAACTGCTTATTTTTATTAGCAGACAAAATATTGTGTTGTCCTATTGTGTTGTAACATTCACAGTTACCTGTATTTAAGCAAATTATAATTTTGTTAAAACAACTAAATTGTCTTTCGGTAATAATCTAATTATTATATCTATTGAAACGTGATATCTTCTTACATTAATCAATATTTCATTGACAGCCCGTGACCGCTGCATATATTTGAATCGAATACTATTTTGTTACTTCACCAACTTTTTTTTCTCAGTGTATCAACTCGATAATTAGACGTTTTTCGGAATAAGTTTAAAATTCTCGTTCTCGCTTTCTACTTACTTGTCGAATTTCTCTCGGAAGGAAACGATGTTTGTTCAAAACATTTGCCCCGAGATACGAGAGAAGGAATCGTGGATCAAAGGTTTTTCCACGTTTGGAAAGAGAGAACCCGGCCTTCCAACACGCTCGCCCTTTTTTCTTCGCATTATCGGCGAACGGTGCGCGCAGCAGTAAAGTGAAATCTGGCTAGTCGTGTTCTTGCCGCGAGCAATCTTGTAGAAGTTCTCTCTCGAAACTCGCATGAAAATCGATTTTTCAAAAAGATACGATATGTACGTGCGAGGAATCGATTATTGATCATCGTCCCACCATCGCAAAAGTGATTGCTCTCCTCGTTGTTGCGATAGTCGCGGTTTAACGCAAGCCACGATCGCCCATAAATAAATTATTTATCTCTCGCGCGATTAATTCAAACGTCAGTGGTCTCTCTCCACAACTATAAACCCGGATTTTTAGCACGCGAGATTACTCTCGCACAGATAGATTATTCTTTTGATAGATATTGTATTTGTTAAATAATTTGTTAAATAATTGTGTTTGTACGGTTTAATGCAAAATCTATTTCTTTCATGCCAGAGTTACATTTTTTTTATTACAAAACGGAAACGAATCAAGTTGATTTGACGCTTGTTTTTTTATTTAAATATTCAAACAAATATTTTATGCTTAACTTTCTACAAAATAGAGAATCTTCTTGCAAAGTATTCATTTTTTCAAGGAAATACTTTTTTGTTGCTTCTAACGCGCGGCGAGACTTACCTTCCAAAACTCGAACGCAGTCGGTCTCGTTCGGATACGGATCGGGATAATGCGGGCTATAAAATTCCTGCTTCGCCGGATCCCCGATTTGAAACCTTTCGCATTTGTCTGGGACGTGCCTCATGTGGCGTCGTGGCATCGCGACGTCTCTCGTAGACGTCTCTATCGGCGTCGTATTTTTCAACTTCCAGCGTGAGACCGTCTCGGGCGACAGTCGTGTCACGGTCGTCGGCACTATCTGTACACATTGTAAAGTCACATTTAAATTTATACGCAAAAATTACATTACGTATGAAATACATAGTACGAGAGTTCGGTTTTATTAAATCACGCGACAACAATAAATAAAAATATTGCAATTTAATCTTTTTTTTTTGTTTTTTAAGAGCCAAGTTCGGAGCAAAGAAAGTCTCTCTGTGAGATATTTCTGCGATCTCTGCGCGCGCGTCGAGTTTATTTCAGCTGATCAAGAAGATTGAAAATTTACGATCAATGGACAATAAGCCTCTAATGCCGGAGTATCAGATCGTTAATTAAATGAAAGCCCGATTCGGGCAACTGGTATTGCGACAGCGCTAAATTATAGTTATCGCTTGCATTACGATATTGGAAACGGCGCTGAATAATTACGTCTATTACGATATGAGTGATATTGCGCGAAGGAATTTCACATTGATGTTTAATTCCAAGAATCTTAGTGCGTGTCTACTAACAAATATTTAGCGACAAATACTATGCGCGACAATGAGAGGTAGCGTTTGATATTTGTGTTTTTCTTCTAAGAAATAAAACCTGTGTTGACCCTCTATGGGCCCGTGTAACTTTCAAGTCACAAGCTAATATATCCACATTTTACCAAATAGTTTTTAGTTTTTTTCACAAGATGATGTATACGTCTTAATTATATAATGCCTCTGAAATAATCAATAACAATATTGATGACGGTTGGCAGCACCAACCTGAAATGTCAAAATAAATACCTTGCAAGTTGTCTGCGGATAGAAACCAAAGGGAAATTCGGTCCATAGATGGTTAACAACAACAAAACGCGATGTAACATTACTGTCTATCTGTCGTTTCAGATATATTTCAATTGCCTGATATATATAGTGCTTGTGACTTGAACTCAAGAAAATTCTATCTGACTCTAATAATTTTCTTTGAAAAGAGAAAGACTCAGCAATTTGTAGAAATGTTTGTGCGATCTTACTAATCGATAAAATTAATTTAGATAATAGTCGCGATTTTCGATATCGGTTCCGCGCTTGTAATTGCACTGTGATAATTGCTTTAACCGTGAAATTGAAAGATAAATTACGCGCGCAAGAGGAAAAACTAATCTCAAAGTTCAACATTAACTCGCGCGGAATGCTTAAGCTCTGTAGCCTATAACCAAATTATCAAATAATCGCTTATCTAGAGAAATTCGATAAGCTAGAGAGATTCGGTACGATTTACGTCGTGTAAGCTCCAACGAGTCGGCGAGGTTGTCGCAAGGTGATAGCCAATCGCTGACTGCGTGAACGACGATTCGATGGGAATCCGATTGGACGGATCTGTCTGGCTCGTTTCGTCGCTTGTGGAAGAGATGGACGGGTTATGGCGTGTGATTTCCGTATGTACGATGTCATTGACTCCAAGTGATTGCGTCGTCATCCTCCTTCTCCCGTCCTCGTCCTCTTCGGACGACCTCTCGACCACCGTTCCCAGAAAACTTAAGTCCGATCGAGTTCCGGGACTCGATCTGTCTACGCTCCAAGGAGTAGTTTCCGGAAGCTTGTCGCTCGAGGGTCTGATCTCCCTCGCGTGCTCCAGACTCGAGGACTGCCAGGATCGCGACGACGAGGACCGACTCGTTTTCCGAGAGCTGTACGTGCTCCAACGCGGATCCTCGGCCTCGCCCGTGGACGCTCCGGTAACTGAAACAACATTTCAAATCATCAACATTTTTATCTCGAATCGATAACGTATGATCGGAAAAATCGGAAATATGATAATTCTCGAAAACATTTGGTCTTCTAACAAAAAACAAAATATAATTAAAAATTAAAATTGTATTATAATACAGCGATTATATATATTATAGATTATATATAATATTTACGGATATAAAATAATAATATTTATTTGCACTTTTTTCTTGTCAAATAAGTTTTTTCAGCAAATAGATTCACGACACAATTCGTGCGAATTAGTCGCAGTATTCAATCATGTCGGGAAATGAAAGGAAGATATGTTTTCCTCCAAAAAAACAGTTGATTCTCGTTTCAACGCGATCGAGTTGCGTACCGATATATACGAATAGCGGCACGGAGAGGCCGTGCGATTGGTTTGAATGTTCGAATTCCACTCGTGAAAATGCACGCAACACGAACAATTCTCTCGTATATACGCCTTTTTAACTTCCCCGCGATTCTCTTTTTTGTTTTTAGCTTTCAACGCCCGGTAACTAACGAGATTTAGCGCCTACTGTCGTTCGCGTGGGAAACCCAGGCAACTTGATTCGCGACAAAAATGCTCTCGCCTTGATTTAACGAGCGCGCCCGCGCCGGCCTTTGTATCTCCACCGTTTCTTTTTATAGGCTGTTTTGCTCCTTTATCGAATTGATTACCGCCGCGTATCCGATGATACATAGACCGTCGCAAAAGCGCCGCTAATGTTACGTTAAATACAACGCTCTCTTTTTCGCATATATATATTTGTTAAGAGAGATAACGTTAAATTTAATGATTAATTAAACAAACCCCCCCCCTCTTTTAAATACGATACGCTTTTACGAGCCAAAAGTTTAACTCATATGTATATCTATGCGAAATATCATTGTCTAATTTCGCAGTGCACACCGCTCGTCTGATATGAATACCTTTTAATATACAAACGTAAAATGAATGTCAGACAGACATTTAGCGCTAAACGCACTGCGAGAATTCAAGCTAAAATAGTTCGCGCAATAATTGAACAATACTCTACGTTTCGCGGACCGCGCGCGTCCGTTTCTCTTTGAACGTGTATCATATCACGAATGTAGAGAAGCAACAGCTTGACGATATATATATATACATATATATATATATATATATATATGGTGTGTTGTTTCATTCGAGACATCGAAGAGCATGGTAGAAGACTACTTTTAGTTTTTCACGAGAGATCGATAGTAAATATGGCTTCTTCCCTCTTCAGGTTAAAACGTGATGGCCTTACGCTGTAACTGTACTACCCATTGCGTCGCTAAGTCCCTTCATATTTTACTAAAAAAAAAAAAGAAGCTCTCTCGTCGTGTCTGGCATCACGAGAGAGTCTTGCTCGCAAATTTTTAAGTCGACGTCTTACAAAAGGTTTTCCCTTCGTCGCGCGATTTCAGGGTGTGACAAGGTAAGTTCACGGTCCGGAGTGCTTTCATCCCCGGCACTTCGGTCTAGGATACTCACGAAAGAGAGAGATCTTCGGGATGGTATTTCCCGACCAAGCAGCAAGTTAAGCAAAGAATACTTTTCCGTGCACTTAAAAATGAAGTTCAACTATTAGTATATATATATATTTTTTTTTGAGAGATATTTATTATCGAAATAGAATTTTTCCAGTTAAAATTAGCTTAACACATGGCAATTAGAGAAAAATAAAATTTCTGTGTAATTTAGAAAAAAAGGCGCGGGAAAATAGCTTTGTTTAAATGTTTGTTTTTTTTTTTTTGAGAAATTATTCTCGTTGAATGCGACCGCGTTTTTTTTTTTAAAAGAAACCGGAGTTTCTTGCGCTTAATTATTTCTCCGCGATTATTCATGCGGCTCATAAATATTGAATTTTACGCATTCCGACACGTTATCGATTTCTAGACTCAACTAGATAAAGACTGCGCAGTTCTTATCGAGTGTAACCGCGCACTCCGGTAAGGTCAAAATGCACTCGCTCCATTTACTGCTCATTTTCTGAAGAGAGTATTCGGTATATATATTCCGCCTTCTCCGGTTGCCGTTGCTTTGGAGAAAATTTACGATAAAATGCGGAAATCGATGGGTTCGCGTTACTTTCTCACGCTAAAAAATAAAGATGTTCCAATTAGTTGAAAGTATCGATTTTTTTACACTTGCGCGAACTTACGTATATTTGATAAAAATGTTCTTCCATAAGTTTTGTACAAATCGATCCATGTCATTTCTTTACCTATCTCAACAATAATTTTAAACACAGTTAAAATTTTTAATTGATTACTATTATATAATGACATCTTTTTACTGAGAGTAATATGTTGTGCGTGTGTGTGTGTGTAAAAACTATTTCTAACAATTTCAAACAAAGGAACTTTCATATTTTTGTGTAAATTGCCAACCGAAAATAGTTGCTCGACAAATTTCAAACTCATAACGCGTTTGTCTCGTTTTCTATTTACAGACGCGCAATTTTCATCGTACATTATGAGATTTCGACAAACTGGTCGCACAATCAGAGGGTTACACCACTGAATTTCGAGACTTCCTGCAACATCGTGTTTCAGAGGCGTCGGGTTTCCAACGACGACGGAAATCTACATCCACCTGCAGCAAGTAAATCAGATCCTCGCCTCTGCTAAGCGTCTCTCCGTTCTCTCTCTCTTTCTCTTTCTCGCCCAACTGTCTGTCCTTCCGTTTCTCGGCAAACAATTTTCTAGCTTCTTGTTGTGTTCTACTACGTACGACCAACCTCTCTCTCGCGCGCGGAAGGTTGTAACCCCGCGATAATCCCTTTTTCACTTGAGACATTCATCGCGTTGTCTACGCCATCATTTTTTTTTTTTTTTTTCAAAAAAGAAAATCTATCTTTTTTCCATCTCATCTTGGAAATTCACAAGACAAAAACAATACATTGATGTGCCCTCCATTGTGATATAATGACGTAACATACATCATAAACTAAAATTAGCAGTAAACTTTAAATTTCTCTCGCTATTATACATTAAAAAACAGTTCTTAGTTATTAATTTTTAAAATAACTCACATATGTTTTATTTTCTTCATTGTGTGTACGTATATCGCATTACAAATATTTACATAACATTACATTGTTATGTAAATTTAAGAAAAAATACAGAAGCAACTTTGCTAAAATTGATTTTTAAAAAGCATAAATATATAATTTTGCAACTTGGCGATATATTCAAAGTGTTGTGAATTTTCAAAGATGAAGTAAAGCTCGAACAAGTATACCGTTCGAAGTTAAAAGGCAAGTTTTCTCTCGGGTTGATTATTTTATAATGCGCACGTCTCGAGTAGTCCCTTTGGAATAGCACGATCCAGCATGAATTAAGTTCATTTCATGTGTAAATTAATTCGTAAAATTAAAAAATTTTTGCTGTTTGACCAATATTCAGCGTATAAAAGAAAATTTAATATAATGCACGGTAGAACGATGATACAAAATGAAACTGACCGTGTACAATTGTTAAATATCAACAGCAGTATAACACGGCAACGTGATTAAATATTAATCAAATATACGCGAGAAAAACTAACAAACTTTTTCCATACACTGTGAATTGTTTGTGTTTTAAAAGCGCAAATTAATTTTTCATCAAATCAAATAATTATAAAATTCAACAAATATTGACGTATTGTTGAAATATGATTCAAATACAATGTAAAAACAGATTTGGAAAGAATAAAAATTATGTGCGTGATTCTGCAACACTGTGTAAGAGATTGCGATTACTTGTACTCACCGATTCCTATGGGGCACTACGTTAGCCGCGCAGAATTTATATTTCTCGCACTAGGTTGCGGAAAGCAAAAGATACGTGATACGCGAAAATCCGTCGGATGACAAATCGAGAAAACATTCTCACAGTTCCGAATTCGCGTTCCAGATAACGTCTCAAATATTTTTCTAGACCTATACATCTCTTATAAAAAATGTATACTTCTCGACGCAAATCTTGATAATCGATATGTCCGATGCTTTTCCGAAAAAATAAAAAGAATGTCAAAACTTGCGTAAAAATTGCTCTTCACAGATTTTATCTCACTTTTTATTTTAAACTAATCAAAACATGTGCGCGTATTCATCAAAAAGTAAACCTGCGTTTTAGAACAAGCATTATTAACGCATATATTCTCATTTTATATACAGCGGAAGTCTGTTTACATAAAAAAAAAAAATCTCATTATTGTCTTACGTCTGATAATTTCTTGACAATTCGTGCAGTTTTAATATATAGCTTATATCTAAGCTCGCAACACGGGAGAAAATTAATAATAAGAGATAAAATAAGATCGTTAAGTGATTTCATGCAAAGCAGCCTTGTGCACGGAGATTTCCGGCGAATCGCGATATTAAGCGCGCTGGATGTACGTTTCGAGAAGTGAAACGATTGCGATGAAATATAACGGGTATAAAATATCTTACGGTTTTATCGCTTTGAATAACTAAGTACGTCGCGTACGTATATTTTCGTTCGCAAGAAGCCCGAAATATTGTTGGGCGCACGTAGAGCATGACACACTTGCTCCTCAAGTAAGTATATAATATCCCCGTTTTCTCGCGCACCTGCATTTCTCTTCGTGAAAATGCGCGCGTAGTACACGTAGGGTATGTACATGTGTATATAGCAATCGCGTGTACATCGGCAAGTAGTATTGCCCGTATATGCTCCCCTCCCTCCATAGCCTCCCCCCGGAATAGGAAACCCACGAAGAATTCCATTTTCCTCCGTTCCCGGTTCCCGCTCTTGAATACTATCTTTGCAAAAACGAGCGAGACGATGCCCTGCACCTTCCATCGCCATCGAATAGAAAACGCGATAACAGCAGATATGTCTTCACGTTTACAGCCAGAAGACAAAATCTTGTAAGTTGACTTCCATTTCATAAAAACGAACGAAATCGCGTATACCTACATATATTTTGCTTTCCTGGTGAAATTGATATATATGTACGACATGAATAA